GGGGGGGGGAAATGAAACTTTTGGACTGTGGTTTTTTTCATGCTGTATTACATTTATTACATTTATTACACCAAAAAACAAGACTTAGAGCACCACTGTTCTTTATCAGACCTTTCTCATATCATACAAAACTACCAGAAATACATCAGTTGAGGCAACAGCCTACTTTACATTTTTCAGACAGTTACCTGTGTTTTTCTCACACCAGTCAGAGATTACACAGACTCTGAACCTGGGAGCTGGTAGGATGAAGTCTGTTTAATGTCTGATCTGACTCAACATACAGCTCTGCTTGGTAATGCTAAGAAAAGGTCAAGACAGCATGTGAAACTGTGTGAAAATGTCTAATGTCTAATGAATAACTGTATCGCTAAATGAAGTATAAGGATGTAAATTCAATTCAATTTCAATTCAATTTTATTTATATAGCGCCAAATCACAACAAAAGTCACCTCAAGGCGCTTCATAGATACAGAGAAAAACCCAACAATCATATGACCCCCTATGAGCAGCACTTTGGTGACGGTGGGAAGGAAAAACTTAGAACCAGGGTCAGGGAGGGGCGGCCATCTGCTACACAAGATGTAAGTATGTGTAGAAATGTGTACTGAGTCATTTTTCATCTTATGAATGCAAACATATGAGATTTCTAATACTGCATATTTTAGAACTATCCAGCTCCAGAAATACAGTCACAGTAAAAGTAGCATCAATTAAATATAAACACTGGCAGATGGTCTACATATTTACACTTAACTACGACATTAAAATAGAATTTCCTTCATAAATTTTAGTTTCCAAAAACCTTTTGACACAAAAACAGTCAAACAGTCTTTTTCCAAACCTCGCTGTCACTGATGTCCTGCCAAAGCACACTCTATAGCTGAACGCAGCACAGATAGGAAGTGCCGTCTCTCTTCGCCTCTCTGTGTGGCACAGACCCAGGAGTGGCAGGGACCCTCGAGGACAAAGGCATGGCTCACATCTACAGAGAAATACATGAATAAAGTTGTAAGCTTTAGAATTAAAGGTGCTTATTTTACCCACTAGAGGTCAGCAAACACTGAAAAACTCACAGCGTGTGTGCCTGATCTCTCTCACAGACAGGCTGGTGAGAGCCACAGAGGCCAGAAATGTGTGCGTGCTCTGGTGAGCCAGCGTGAAAGGTGTGTGCCGCACATTTTGCAGAGTCAACACCAAAGCATTGTTGAGCAGGAAGAGGCCCACATCACAGACGTGCTCATAAGTCCTACGGCAAAGGATTAGTTCAAAAACATTTGGTAGCACTTTATAATACGGCCTGCGACTAAGGGTGTAATTCCCCTGTAATAAAATGGAATTTTAAAGTATTTTATCTCAAATTAAAATGTAATTATACTGTGTACTGTAAGTAAATGTAAGTACTGTGCAAGTAATTTCAGGTAGTGTGCAATGTCATGGCAATTTTGCAGAAAAACAAACACTATTTCCCAACTTGCAACTTTCAGTTCAGAGGACGTACTATGGAGTGTATTAAACTTGTCTTTTGTTTTTACATCTTTATTTTTTTCTTTATTTAATAATCATTATGTTGATGTACTTGATGGACATTCTATTGTTCAGTTGAATTCAGTTAATTCTAATATTTCTTTTATTTGACCAATATAAATGTCATAAGGTAAAGCAATAAAAAGTAAAGGTGTGCTGGGGCAGTGGCATGAAGACAACTGATGCCAACAGGCAGAACAAGCTGATTAAAAAGGCTGGTTCTGTTCTGGGTGTCAGACTGGAGAACCTGGTGTCTGAGAGGAGAATGCTAAAAAAGCTTCTTTGTATCATGAACAACTCCTCCCACCCCATGCACGCCTCCATTATGGACCATGGGAGCACACATAGCAAAAGACTCATCGCTCCGAAATGCAGAACTGACCGCCACAGAAAATCCTTCATACCGGTGACAATAAGACTATACAATTCTTCCTCGCTCTGTCGGTGATCTTCCTGAGGACTAATAGCAAAGTTATTCTGTTCCCATTCAAACCGTGCAATATCACCCAACAGTATTTCATCGAATGTTTGTTTCATCTCCCCATAATATGCTGCTACTCTCTTTTATTCAGTTGCACAATACTATGTCACTTTTAGAATCACCTGCACTGATAGCTAAGATATTTATTTTTCAGGATATAGTTATATTGTTACTTTGTTAGAGTTAATTGATATTATATTTTGCACTATCCTACTGTATACTACTATTCTTATTGTATATGTTATTCCTCTGTTCTCTGTCTTTCTTGGTGCATTGAGCATGTGTATGACAAAAGAATTTCCCTCAGGTTAAATAAAGTTCTTCCTATCTTATCTTATCTTATCTTATCTTATAATGGAGCCAAGTATAACCTTTTTTTTCTCTTTCACAAACATAACTTTTAAAGGAAGTGTCTTCTTTCATGTAAAATACCTGGAAGTTAGGCAAGATTAAGCCACCACATAATATAGTCCACACCCAGAAAAGTGCAGCGTAGTTAGCTTGAAAGACAGGGAGATGTTGGGTTTTTTCACAAAATTAACAAAACATTAAACAGTACTTAAAATTACTTACAACGCAATTCTTCTTTCTTTCCCGTAAATACATGAAGTTATGTAATACTTAAAATACTTAATTAAAATTACTTACAGTCTGCTTAAATTTGAAATTCCATTTAATTACAAAGGAATTACACCCTCAGTTGTAGGCCGTATTAAAAAGTGCTACTAAGCATTTGAATGAAACAGACAAAGTACACACGCATGCAAAGTTACATAAAGAAGAACATTATTAAACTGCAAATATACACATGGTTACAAAATAGTCTGAATCTGAGCACGTAGCATCGTGAACATTGAAGAATGTAAAAATATTAGTCATACATCTGCTGTCTGAAAGAAAATTGGTGTTTTTACTTGAGAGAATCCGGTATCTGCTCATCAGGGCTCCTGTGCAGAGCAGCATCCTGAGTCATTATTAGTTGCCTGTTTTCTTCACTGAGGTTCTATACACACACACACACACACACACACACACACACACACACACACAAATATATGGTTTTGAGCATATATGATAAATTATTAAAGAGTTAGAGGCATGAAGAGAGAGGAAGAGCTATGTGTGTTTTTTGTATTTTTTACCGGACAGCCTTGAATCTGTCGCTGCGTTTCCTCTATCAGTCTGTCTGCCTCTGAGGTGCGCTTTAACTGAACACAACAAAGTACATATGCATAAGAGGAGAGCCAGCACCTCCACAACAGAGGCATTTACATGTCTTATAGCTCTCTGTTCATGCGTCACCTTGTGTATGAACTCTCTGAACTGGAGCAGCGTGTTGAGGGCAGAGCGGAGATGTGCGTGGTCAGGATGACCGGGGTGTGTGTGCAAGGACAGAGCTTGAAGCAGAGTCACATACTCCTGCATCCTCCACACTGGACACAGCAGCAGCTCTTGTAGGCTTCATAAACACAGACGTACTTTGAAACACTGTGGTTTGATACATGCAGGCAGGTATGCATAATAGCAAATAAAAGCTTTGTGTCTGCTCTTACCTCAGCATGTGAGTTGCAAGTGTTCTGTCAGATCTCTTCAAGAAAGCTCGAAATGATGGTTTGCTCTCCCTGCACTGACGAAAATACATGTACAGATACACCACAATTAAATTCAAATATATTTTTGTGTTTAACTATTAGAGCCGAACAATAGTGTGTACTGCATCTTCCGTAAACCAGAACAAACTCGTTTTAATCGTATCCTTTATTCATACCTGTATGAGCCACTTTGCATGGCCTTCGTAAAGGGAAGATTACTCAATAAAAAAAAAAATTCAACCTCAATCAAAATAAATAAAATCTCGACGTTCAGCTAGCCAAATCTGAAACCCAAAGAATACATTATGTACCATTAAAATTATTATAAACTGCAGTAATGTTTGACCTGTTTGTGCTGCTGGCCATGAAATGAAAACGCTTATATAATGCTTTTATAAGAGGTTAAAGGTGCTAGAAATACTAGAAATAGGTTATTTTAGCCCTTTGGTAGGTGGTTACTATGCAACATGATGATGGCATTGATTGTTAATTGTCACGTAAACCCTTTCTGCTAAATTTCAAGTTATGTACGATTAAACAAATGTTCTTTGTTTAAAAAGACACTGGCTTTACCTTATCAATGGTGTGGATGGCAGTGGTGTAGTTGTTGAGGTAGTTTGTGTAGACTTTAAGTTTTGAGCAGAACTTCACGAAAACATCTCCAATACACTTCTCTGCACCCCACTGCTGTAGCCGCACCTGTAAATCAGCCTGAAACACCCTGTGAAGTACACACAAACATGTCTCCCGCATCATATCCACACAGACAGACAACTTAAAGGGTGGTTAAGTTGACTGTGTTACACCTGTGTGGCCTGAGAAGGCCATCATTTCCCTCGATCCCTTCGAGGAATGACACATCCAGGTTTTGTTTTTTTCACACTAGTGCCAATACCAGCACGCATACATTTCACTCATTTGAGCATTCATTATCCTAACATCTCCTCATATCACATGTTTATTTATTTATTTGATTTAGTGAATAAAATAATGATTGGCAACACACCCTGCTTGGTCTCACATCCTTGTCATTGGCCGGCAATTAGGGGCTCGTCCGGGATCTAACTGATGTTTGGAGACAGTTTGCTTTGTCTTTTGACTCTTGCTCCAGGTCAGGTGGATACTGTTTCCACCTCTGACCTGGAGCAAGTGTTTTGTGGAGATTTGGCTTGTTTTGAAGTCACCTTACATATTCAATTAAATTCTATTTTATTTATATGGCACCAAATCACAACAACAGTCACCTCAAGGCACAATTATATGACCCCCTATGAGCAAGCACTTTGGCAGCAGGGGAGTCACTGCACCTAGTGCTCCGATTACCACTAGGACCACTGTTACCTTCACCCTCCACATCTTCTCGAGCTCTTCTCTGAGCCCTTGGTATTTCTCGAGCTTCTCGTGTTCCTTCTTCCTGATGTTCCTGTTATTCGGAACAGCTACATGTATATATATAAATATATACATGTGTGTGTGTGTGTGTGTATTTGTTTGTACCTGTTGAGCTCCAGTATTTGTGCAACAGGACTGAGGACAACATGGATGTCAGCATAGCTCAGAATGGCTCTGTTGGAGTTCAGAGCTGCTGTGAGAGGCTCCTTGTACACCTTCAGCGCAGACGACACATATCAAATGAATATTTCTAAATACTGAAAGCTTTCTTCTCTCTGATGTCAACATAAACACTGTAAGTGTCAAAATGGACAAAAATGGACTTGCAGGGTTGTGGTTGCCCTTAAAATTCACTTTGTGTGGTTTGCATATATTAAATAATCGATACCTGTATTCTGGACTTGCTCAGACAGATGTATATATATGTTTTAGTTCTGAAGGAATATTGTTTTACCACTGATTGTTAAGGTCTGGCACTTGCAGATAACAAAAACAAACAAAACTAAAGTATACCTTCAGCACAGCGCTCAGCTTTCCCAGATAAAGACACTCGCTGTGGTGCAGCTCTCTCACAGCTGCACCTCTCCAATCCAGAACCATCTAAAACCAAAAGAAAGAAAAGATGAATTAATCGTTCTCCTTGAGTTTCCACTACAAGGGGCAGTTTAAAGCAGACACACCTGTGGTAGATCAAGTATCACGGTGAAGCATGTCTGTGAACCACCAGCAGCTCCACTGCTGTCCTCTCCATTACCCTCTTGTCCCTTCTTCTCTTCATTCCAGTTTTTCAGAAAGATGGAAAGAAACTCCACAGGTCGGGTCTGAAGGTGTAAGAGAAGGTTAAAAAACACACACACAAACACTCTTATGTGAGTTATGTCCAATTACTTTTTTCTTTTTCTGTTGAACTTGTCCATTACACAAACTGCTCTACAGTAATTCCCACCTCCTCCTCTCTGGTCAGAGCAGTGAGTCCTTCGATCAGAGCCTCGCTGAGATCTCTGGACACACAAATCTCATCAAGGCGGATTCTCTCCCACAGAAAATAGCCTAGAAAAATAGAATTTAACCAGACTGCTACTTATATAGTACTTTTCTATTTATATTTAGCACTCAAAGACGTTTCTTATTCATACAAATGCTTTTCTCTACAGTTAAATCCTTTTAACCAGGGGTTCAGCATCTTGGCCAAAGATCCACTGCACTTCTAATTAGCAGACGATCTGCTCTACCTCTACACCACGACACAAATCAACACGTACATGAAACTCACCCAGAGCTCGGCCCCTGGCCTGGAGGCTGGTCCACTGTAGCTGTAGCCCTAAGGTGCTCCTCAGCTCTACCAAAGCCTCCTCCATCCAATGAGCCTGTGTGCACCAGCCCTGCAGTACAGCCTCACACACATACTGCAGGGCCGGGAGTGCTGGCTGGTTCTCTGAGAGGCCAGTAGGCACACTGCCGTCAGACCACTCGCTGAGGACTGGGAGAAGATGAAGTATGTTTAAAGAAACACACACTGTGAGGGATACTGTAGTCTACGAAACAATGACAGGGGAGGGGAATATTCCTATGCTTAGGGTCAAAGTTTAAGGGGTTACGCACTGTTCTGGAAATTCCCGGTGGCCACACCCACCGGTGCCCGAACCTCCAGACCAGTCAAAGTGGAGAGATTCTGAAGGAGAGTCACTCCTGATGCTGCAGAAGAGAAAACAGGAGGCGAAGCAGGAGGGAGCTGACGTTAATGAGAAAATGCTGATTAGAGAGAAGAGTGTGTGTGTTGTAACATCTGCTACCAGATGCAGCCAGCGGGCAGAATATGTCAATCCCTCCTCCTTCCTCAGTTGGAGCCACCATGCCACACAGTTTTTCCCAGAATTCCCTATGATCAGGAGTCAGTAGAGTCTTCTCTGATAGGCTAGAGTCTGAAAAGTCAGGGCAGAATTACATAGTAGGTCAGCAAAATAGTGTAATAGAGAAGTAATATCTCTTGGGCTAAGTTTTGGTCAATGGATTAAAATGGCAGGTACCACTTTGTTAAAATGTTTTCAAAATGTCAGCAGAGGACTTTAGTCCAGTTAGTCCAGAACAAACTCCTGCAGTGTGTGCACATGAATTTACTCATTGTGATTGAGTCTCACTGTGAAGCAGGTGAATGTCCTGTGTTCCTCCGCAAGCTAGCAGGCCAATCCTCTGAGCTGGTTTCCCAAAAATAGCCCTCTCCACCTGGGTTAGCAGAGATGAGAGAGTCCCTCTATGGTCATAGAGAACCGCAGTCACACCGGGCTTCACTCCGCTCAACACCAGCTAGATTAAAAAGAGCGGACGGGGAGGAATGTTATTTATTCATCTTCCCATTGTGCATTTTATTTCTGCACTCGCGGGAGTGTTTTATGTCTGCTCTGTTTCAGGAAAAATAAATAAATAAATAGATGATGATGTGGATTCACCTCATATGCAGGAATTCTGTTGGAGATGAGCAATAGCAGGGCAGGAGCGGATAGGTGAAGGGGAGAGACTGTGTGAGGCTGTGCAGGTCTGTAGATAAAAGACGACAACGCTCCTCGGGTTTTGATCAGTGTTTCGCTGAAAGATGAAAATGCATGTTGCTTTCAGCATACTGTGACATTATATTATACAGATGTCTTCACATGTGCTCACAGATAAGTTATTCAGTGTATATAAAGTATTTTGTACACTTCAATCGATTCAAAATAGACTTTGAAACCTCCAGAGCCGAAACACGAAGAAGTGCCGCTCAAAGCTGGCTACAAAAATGAGTCACTCCCAGTAGACGCCATTGTAAAAAGTCAAACTAAACAACAGAAATAAACATGTATACAGGATGCTACAAATATGGCTTTGGTCTCCAGGGATAAATTTCCCCTTTATAACAACGGTACAGTGGGTAATGTAATGTTGAAGATTCAAAATGCAGAGTCCACTAACTGTGGTTGAAGCTAAGTGAGGTTCATCTAATATGTGGTTAGACAATCACCTGCTAATGCTGGAGGCCTGGACTCTCTCCCAGGTCTGAGGTGCACTTGTGGGCTGTCCTCTTTCCAGGCTGAGAGAGTGACTGGAAGAGCCAACGCTCCTCAGAGGCCAGGAGAGGGAGGGCTGAGAGACGAATGTTAGGCCAGACTCGGGTCTCCCTTTCTGGGTACCTCCACCTTTGGCTATTTCTGGCTTTGTGTAGCTGCCCCAGGGTCTCCTGGCACTCACAGATAGTCCTACAGATATCACAGATACAGTACATGCATCTGCCAGTAAGGGCGAGTTTTTACTAATCAGGAGCGTTTTGTGCTTAGCAATGAGTTGGAAAGGCAAAGATGAACTGTTTGATAATCAATAAAATATATTAATCACATTCATTAAACACATTCAACAACATTCATTCAGTTCAGGTTTATGTATTTAACACTAAATCATAAGATAAGTCGCTTTAACGTGCTTTGTACTGAAAGGTAAAAACCCTACAGTAAAACCCAAATGACCCCCTTTGAGATGGTGGGAATGAAGAACTCCCTCCTTCCAACAGACCCAGGGAGGGGCAGTCATCTACCATTACGCATTAGAGGTTGAAGGGGAAAGAGAAACGTAAAGGAGATCACAGACAGGACAAAACACAGAATAAAAGATTGAGTAAACACTACCATTCGCTTACTAGTAACAAACCAACTGTATTCGAATTAACCAAATGAACCTATTAATGGATGATAACCATTCAGGCACATCTCACTGAATTATGAGACGCATGAAGGGAGTTAGAAATAGTGCAGTCTTAGTTCAGAACATCCACAATTCTGATTTGAACTTTGAACTGATATAAAAAATCCAACACCTTTGACACAGGAAACCTTTCGATTTGTCTCTATATTTGTTTTCAGTCCCACAAAGCCGGTAATGACATTTATAAAAAGTTATAAAGCAAATGTCCCAGGAGCTGTTTTCACTAGTCAGGAATCAGACCGTCAGGATCTCTGCCCACAACTGCTGCCCAACTCCCAGCTCACCAGAACCCTACAGTGCCTAACGCAGGTGGTGGGCCCACAGAAGGCCAGGCCCCATGGACTAACGCCCAACTACCACCAAAGTTGGTAGGCAGGTGCGTCGTGGTACAATGATCACCCGCCAGGTAAGCGGACACACTGAAGAGAATATATCAGCTGACTTGCCTTGGTATCCTCCATGAACAACTTGCGGAGGTAGCCGGGAGGGAGGTCTGGCTTTTTCTACTTAGAATACTGCCCCCACGACACAGACCCAGATTTTACAACCTCAAAAATGTGTTGCTATAGTTTCTACACCCTGTCATTTTTCTGTTTTTTCTTTTCCACTCACTCTTCTCCTCTCGAAGCTTTTCTCTGATTTGCTGCCTGATCCTCTTCTCCCTCCTCCTCTCTTCCTCCTCCTCTGTCATTCCTGTGCTTTGCTGGTTGAGGGTCCCATACATCTCTGCTGCCTCCCGTGGAGTGAGCCAGTCAAGTGTGGAGAGGCAGGAGACATAGTGACTTTTCCATGCACCAAACTCTTTTTCTCCAGGAGTGTAAGGAAGGAACCAGCCTCGTCTGATGCACCGGCCCGCCCACAGACAGTCCTAGAAAGAAGAAGAGGATTTAACTTGTTTCATAAAACCCCAATTAAGATGTATGAATACATTTCAGATCTCTTCAGGGCTTCTCACCTGCTCAGCTAGAACCCTCCAGTGCCAGCTGACTTGGGCAGCTTTGCAAAGGTCACGTGGGGACAGAAATGACATCACATACAGGGAGAGAAACCGAGGCAGCACCGACGTAAGGTCCACTTTAGTGACCGGAACCGTCTCAATCAGCAAATCCCGGCAGTACCTGCTCAGGTTACAGAGGTTTCCAGTTTGAACTGAGCACCTGTGTACACTTTACTAGTTACAGTTTCAGGCTGAGATTAATGGTTAGGACACAAACGTGTACAATCCACTTTACCTGAGCTGTGACTTGGTGCAACGAGTGAGCAGAGAGTGCAGCAGGTGTTTCCTCTGTCTGTCCGTCCACAGATCAAACCAGTGCAGCACAAGATTCACTCTCTCCTCAAATAACTGGTATGGAAAATGGAAAAAGGATACCAACATAGACACATTCAGTGCGTGCAAAAGCCTCAAGCCACCTCTCATTTCTTAATATTTTGCTTCCAATTAGCCAGAATTCCTTGTAACTTTTTAAAGTGCTCTTGAGCAATAGTTCTCCAGGCTTTCTGCACATCTTTCAAAGTTTTATTGGACATTGGCTACTTTTTCACTCATTTTCAGTCCAGTCCTTGTACCTGACCATTTTCAGAGGAATGCTTTTTGCTTGTTAAACCACTTAACACTGACCTAAATTCAAGTATATAAAAGGCACCTAACTTAAGGGATAAACAACTGCTGTGTCTACACATAACCAACTTAGCAAAAAAACACTTTTAAATTGTATCTTTATGCACTTTACTACTTTGTTCTCATAACTTTAATTAAATCTACAAAACATTCCAGAACAAAACAGAACAAAAGGCAGAAACATCCAAAGAAGAGCTTTGAATGTCCTTCGAGAAGCCTGGAGAACTATTCCTGAAGACGACTTAAAGACATGACAAGAAAGCTGCCTAAGAGAGTTCAGACAGTGCTGAAAAATAAATATGGTCACAACAAAAATCAAGGTTGTTAGAACTGTAAAAACTTTTTTTTGCGTTATATACTGTATTTCCATGTAAGTTTGCACGTTTCAGTAAATCGCTTAAGGAACTGACCACCCAGCCCATTGTTCCTTCAGTGGGCTGGTTTCAGTCATTATGCAAATGTACCGTTTATAAGATTTGGGGAAACCTGCAGTCAGCTGAGACTGAAGAAGTCACTTGGATGAGTGATGAAACGTTTCTCCCACAAAACGCTACGTCCAGATGAACAGAATCAACTTTTGGAGAAGAAAATGAAATGATTGTGACAAAATACACAAGTATTTCAAATAAACTAAGATAAATATTAGGTGCTACTTTTCATTACATTTCTTGCAAACAAGCGTAATGAAAGTAGATTTCTCCTGATGGTTTTATATAAGAGGTGTGGGCAGTAAATACAAGGTATGGCCTCGAATTGCATTAGTTTCCTCTAATGGTCAAATACTCAAGCTACCAATGTACACAGAAATGCTGGCTCCATTGGAAAAACAATCAGTTTACCTTATTTAATAAACATATCTCTAAGAATAAACTTATTTTGCTATGTTAAAATAAGTGATTTAACTTCACCCTGGTTTTTTTTATGTTCCATGCTTATTTTTAACCCTTCAGTTATGTTTGTTTCTCAGATACAGTAATGATGCTCCTGGGTCAATTTGACCTCGGGCATGTTTAGTTATCCAGGGCAATCCAATCCAATCCAATCCAAGAAAGCAATAAATTCAAATAAACATTGTTTATATCTCATTATTAACTCCATTTCAATCAATATTTGGTCCACCTGTGTTCTTTACTTCTCACAGATCATGGTTCAATAAGGACATATCCGCTCGTTTTTCACAAAAAAAATGTACATTAAAACATTTTATTGTACATTGGAAATACCTGCACGTAAAATTCACTTTTCATGACTGTTTCTTTTTTTGTATTACAAACATATATATTGATTGCAACTTATTAAGTCAAGCAGAAGAAGCTTCATATTTTTAAAAAAAAACAAAAAAACTTTTAATTATTTATTTATTTTTGTAGATTATTTTACTTTGAAATGTGTCAATTTGATCCGCAACATAACCGGTTTCAAAATTAGGAATTCAGTAGCTTTCATAAAGCCCTGCACTGTCCTGAAATGCATTAACTCTGGTTTCAGTGACATGTTGTGGCTAATAGAATATCACAAAGTTTATCTGCAGGGGGTTGACCAAGGCCCACGTAGCATTTCTAACCTGCAGGTTGATCCGCTTGTTGTTCAGGGGAGTCCAGCTGCTGAAGCGGGTGTCAGACAGCAGGGTGCCGGCCTGCTGCGGCTCATAGTCCGTCCCGCTCAGCTGCCACCGCTTCACCGAGTGAGGGGCTGATGTCAGGCTCGCCTCCATTAGCACAGACGGTTTAAACACTTTTGAGGAAGCACCTTGAGTTCCGCTTCACTTAAAGTCCGATCGATGTATTTCCAGATTGATGTCTTTAAGCCAAGTGTCCACTTGCCAGGCCGCCCCTTGTGCTGTTCTGTGCAGTCAGTCACCTTAGAGACGCACCAACAAAAGGATTCCTGCATTCCTGCACACAGCACGTTCCCGTGCCTCCTGCACATTAATAATTCAACACGCAGGGTTCACATGTAAGCAATCACAAATGAAAGCATCAAACGCTACACAAACTTTATACTTAACCACTTAAGGCTTAGTGTGGCACATTTGATACATGTTTTTTTAAGAGCTGTACGTCATAAATGTGACCCCCTAAATCCCCCTGAAAAACCTACATAGGATTGCACAATACATTTTTAAGGAACAAAAAAATGTCTGGAAAAATATTATACAAATTATACATATATGGAAATGTAATTATCATTATTTCGTGATTTTTTTTAAATTGTCAGATGCTTCAATAAATACTCCATTTTCTGGCAATTAATTCATGGTTCAGACTTTAATGCTTGGAGGATCAAAGAGTATTCCCTTAGAAACCAGTACAAGTGGCACATCACCTAACAATGATGATCCCAATGATCCCAGACATACTCCCAATACAGTAAAAGCAGACCCGGATAGAATAAGAGCACAATGGAAAACTATCAATTCCGCCTCCCCCAATCCAGGTACTGTTATGACCCTATTTACTCACTTCTCTATTGTCTTAGTTTACAGCTGCAACCAAGAAATTCAGACAGAGAACTTTATTGAGGAAAAAACAAACAGGTTAAACACCCCAAAAACAGGTTAAAATACAGTGTCCAAGAAAAAAGAAAAAGAAAAAAGGGTTTACAATCAAAGCAGCATCAAATTATCTTATCAAAACTCTGAATCCAAACCTAGACTCACCTAAAATCACTTAAAGTTTAGAACCAATAAGGCAAAAAATGATTAAATGATTAAATTAAGGCTTGTTTGTGATGACAACATTTGGACTGTTTAGTCTTCTCCAGCGTCAAAACAACACACCAGTGATAACGTGTGCAGTGCATGCTGTGTGTCGCATGGGTATGTGCAAATATACTGAAATGGACCAAGTCCACTCAGCAAAAATCATATGCAAAAATCGCAAACTGGAATTAACATACTACTCTCAGTACTCACCGGGTCCTTATGTTATTTTTGGCTGGTTTAAGAATTTTTAAATCTATGCTGTTGTTTAAAGCTCTAATACTGAGAAACAATTAGAAACTAATGCCTAGACTTTGAAAAGTCCAGCTCTGTTTCTTACTGTGAGAAGATCAGTGCAACACAAGTGATCTACATACGTCTGAGTAATGTCAAAGGAGCAAGTTTACAATCATTTCACTTTCAGGTGAATGGTATCACTTTGGTTAGCAATGTATTGTAAATCTAAACTGCTTGGAAATGAGTGAACGCACTACGGCTTGGCTTTAAACAATACAGGGATGCACCAAAGCCGATATAGAGAATAC